AAAGGAATCAGGGCATTTATGTCATTCACAATTGCGCATGGGGCAGAATTATCCCGGGCCATTTGGATTTTGGTTCCAAATTGGGACCAAACAAACAATACTTTTCAAATGGGAGGGAACCCCCATTTAAATTCTTGAAGGATGCTTCATTTGATTTCAAGTTGATTTTTGGTGCCAAGTTTTTAATGTTTTGGCTTCATGGTTACTAGGCAAGTTGTAATTGTCCCCAACCAATGTAAGGATTGGCTTCATGATTACAAGTGATTATGCCATGTTGTAATGGTTTGATGTCTTTATTGATACAAAGTGGTTTAATGGCCCAGTTGTTTAATTGGTTTTGGATGCTCATTTGATTTTACTAGTGATTATTGCAAGTTTGTTTAAATTTGGTCCCACCAATGTTTTTACAATCTGGAAGGATTGGCAATGATTTTACTTTGGTTTGGGGAATCCATGTTTAGTTCCATTCCGTAGGTTGCAAACTTTTCCTTGGATTTTAGAAATGGGATTCAACAAAGGGAGGGGAGGAAGGGATAAAGGGAGAAGTTGTTTTAGTTTGGGGTGGAGGGGGAAGTTTGGCTTTTCAAGGGTTTGTATACCATCCAAATTTTTTTTTAGGCAAAACGTCCCCATACCCCAGTTGGGCTATTGCTTTAAAAAGGCATCCACTATTTGCTTAAGTATCCACTATGGTTTATTTGTAAATTCCAAAGGGAAACAGTGGGCAATTTTAAATTCCCCACCTATTGTATATTAACATTTCCCCATGGGGAAACAGTTGGGCTTATACACTTTCACTATGTTATTTATACATGGGAAAACATTGGCTATTCTTAAAGGGGGCACCACTATGTATAATTTTTATATTTCCCAATGGGGAATGGGCTATTGGGTTCAAAGTTTCATGTGGGCAATTCCATGGGATTATGAGGGATTCCTTGTATATACAAGTGGGAATTAAAAATCAGTTCTTCAAATGAAAGGGGGGGATATTAAGGTGATGGCTTGAGGCACAAAAATAAGGGGGAAAAAAGGGGTTCTTTAACAAAAGCAAAAGTGCACAAAGGCTACAATGGACACCATTCCCTATTATCTTTTGTTCTCATATTTAAAAACTTTTACTTTTCCAAGGGGTAAACTGTTTTGCAGAGTGGAAAAAAGACGGGGGGGAGGGACGGCAAAAAGGGCGCGGCTCTTTTGCCCAGTTAGGGAGGGGAAAATTGTTGCCGCCAGGGGGAGGATTGGGTTGTGTGGAAACATAAACCAAAAAAGATGTATAGGGATGGTGTCATTGTAGGCTTTGTTGTGGGTATATTTTTTTGCCGTGTTAATGACCCCTTGTTTTCTCCTTTTTTGGGTGGCTTCAAGGCCTCCCTATATTCCTCCTTTTCATTTGTGGAAAGAATTGATTTTTTTTTCCACTTGTTTCACTAATTTTCTCACGCCTTATGACAACACTGCGATTGTTCAGTTTCACTGTGATGTTCATGTGGGTCTGTTGTAGAGATGATACGGGTATGAAAACAGCAGAAAGGAAGTAATGGGCTGACTCCTACCTGCGAAGCAGGGTGTAGGTGTGTGTCTCCACTAAGGAGTGCAATTATCGATTGTGGCACGAGGTGGTGTGCCAACACACCAGTGGTTTCATAGGCAGGCTTCAGTAATCAGACTACAATGATAGCTTAACCTGGGGGGACAAAGAATGAAGGCGCCTGGGCAAGGCACGCGTAACACGGCGCAGATTGCCAAGTTGCTCCTCGTGCAAATCAACAGCAAAACGCAGCTAGCCACTTACAAATGTGCACACTGACTTACAGAAGGCACCGAAGGATGAGAGTAGTTTTCTCTGAAGGCATCCAGTCCTGGCTTAGTCTCGTTCGTGGACCAGGTTTACGAGACAAAATGCGCGCGCGCGCCGCATTGGAAACGCCCTCCTCAGCGCATGCGGCTCACTGATGCTGAGTTAGCAACAAATGGCGTTGTTCAGTGACTACCGAGGAAGAGCTCAACGATCTACCGTAGTGACTTGCGGCAAGAAAGAAACGATCGCTTGATATGCATGCACACCTCCGGCAAATTTGGAGACGTTCTGTGAAAAAATCAACGCTTCAAGTGCTTCCGGTAAGGAGCTAGCGGGTCTGAAGAAGAAAGAAGAAGATGAAGAAGAATATGATGATGACACGAAAATCGTGAAATCGCGTATGAGCGAATTCTCCCGTGGACGACTGAAGGTGAGTATGAGGTCTTGGGGGACATGTATAGGTAGATATGGGCCCGTAGACTATTGCTAGTATGTTTTGAAGGCCTAGGGAGTGATTCTCACTGAGTTTTTAGTCGTTTTGTACGCGGATCACGTGAGATTTCACCCGTGTCGTCCCTATATCTGATTATGAGCAAGGCAAGGTTACACTCTATATACTACAAGGGTATGAGTGTGTAACTCCAATGGAGGTGTTAATAAGGAGCCCCAGGAAAGGATCATTCCGTGTGCTTGTTTCCTTGTTCTCAAATGCCAGCACACCTGGTCATAGGGCATGTATGTACATATATGGACAAAGTAACTGCATATGTATAAATGCATACTGTGCAGAACAAGACAAGTTCAGTACAGTACAGCTAAAAACAGGTCAGCAATCAGGAGTGAATGGTACACAGTGCTGTCAGTATGCATACAAGCATTGAGTAGGTCCATTCCTTCTGCTTTGTGTACAGCAACAGATGCCAAGAATATGCCAAATGTAACATAGTGAAGTACATGGTGAAGTACATGTTGAACGTCATGTGAAAAGTTCTTGCGTAAACACATGCTCTAAGCAATGAGAAACTCCCAAGTCAGCCATACCCCCACACAGCTATTCAGTATTCATAGAAGCAAACGTCATGTTTCCTTGACGATAGCATGAGAACACACCATATAAGAAATTTGCCGTCACATGCTGCTAGACATAACATGTATTGACTATATTGTAATGAATCTTGATGCCAGTCTTGCGCAACGTAAGCCAATCATGCAAAACACAATCATAGTCCCAAGGGTATAGTACACCTCCATAGTAGTACCATAGTTGACTACATGTGTGTTACTATACAAGCAGTAGACCCACGTACTACAAATTGTTTCCTGAGAGTCTGGGCAGTACAAGTAAACAGCCCACTTTTTTTGGAGCCAACCCATGCAGGGTCGGTAAGGAGTTGGCAAACTACCAACAGTCGATTCAGCAATTATAGTAATGCCCATAAATTTGGGTGCAAATACCTAACTGTCAATGACTTTCCATTTGTAGCCTGGTACAAAAATTCACAGCATTCCATGCATACTTGGTTAGATTCCTAGACTCACATTCACCCACCCAGAGGATGGTCTGGTATCTAATATCTGATTCCTGGCTCTGCTAGTGCTGTGTCAGAATCAACACAGCATAGTGTGACTCTTTAGTGGTTGTGGTATTTCCTGGTCGATTAAATATCTGTACACAGGCAGCATATTTTCCATACTTTTCCACCGGCATGTGTACCATAGTGTGTGCCGATTTGTCTAATCAGCTGAATTTGTGTTTTGTCATTACCTTGTGCCTCATAATAATGCAGCTAGTGTCGGGGAGGTACGGCTGGTGGTTTGCTGGCCTTAGGAGGTCTTGGAGGAGGAGCTCTGAAAATAGACCAAATCATACTGCATTGGTAATTTCTCTCTGCTGACATTTGATTTGCATTAAATAATGCCTGGCTACAGGCTAAAGTATAAGAGTATTATAGCCTGGTTTCAGGTGTTTCCATAGATCTTTTGTTCAAGCTAGATTCACCCCAGACAAGCCACGGTGCATGTATCTGGACCATAGTGCATACATTCACTCACCACAGACCACAGCATTGTTCAGCACAGCTGATGTCTGAACAATGATATAAGAACACCTGGACCACAGGCTACTGAAAACTCAAGGCAGACCTTTGTCGTGATCTGGCGGTATACACGCCCTCAACCCTCCTGCGCTATGCACACTCGGGCTTTGGGCTTGAGCGTGTATACAAGCCAGATCCCTCAATGGGCCAGTACTGTCAAAACTCAGTTACATGTTGATGGATAAGCACATTTATATACTTGAGAGCTGTAGTTCCTTACTCTGCTCTAAGTGGAGGAGGTGGCACAGAGAGAGGGACGTCCTCAGGAGCCAGAGGAGGTGGGGGAGAGGGAGGAATGTCCTCGGGGGCAAGGGGAGGAGGGAGGGAAGGAGGGATATCATCAGGAGATAGAGGAGGAGGGAGGGAGGGAGGGAGGTCCTGATCTTCATCTTGGACGGTGCCACGAGGAGGGATGGGGGGAGCTGGTTTAGTGGGTGGAGGTCGGAGTGTGTCCTCATCTTCCTCTATCGCCACTGGGAGGACACCTAGCACCAGGTGAGGATAGGAACGGAGATAGGGTTATACATCTCTCCACATGAACTGATAGACACAGCATCACATGTGACCAGTATATACTATGTGAATACCAGAGACTGCGTAGTTGAAAAGCTGTTAAACGAGTGTATATCCTAGTTATTTCGTAATTATTGAGCGTGTGTGTCCTAATTAAACTATAACTACCATACATTTCTTGGATGGATGTTGCTCTGTAGACCCCTAATCATCACACTTTTAGTTAAAAGAAGAAGTGGGTGACTTACTACAATCTGTTAGTCTCACCAGTGGTATATGAGTCCAGTAGAGCAGTGGCCAAGTCAGCAAACCCAACTCCCTCACAGAGACCAGCCAGCTGGGTCCACGTGGTGTGGTCAGGTATGAAGATCTGGTGCATCACCTCCGCAAATGACTCTTTTGCATCCCCCTTGTAGTGAGCCTGTATCTTGAGGACAGAGAGTACGTACACATGGTAGTACAATTAGATAATTACCACATACTCAAAATTATCCTAATAAGGAATGAACATATGGATGTACAGAGAACTGAAAGTACACCTAAAGAAACTGAAACCTCTTTCAGAGCGGCTCTCTGCATCCCGGCAGCCTCCCCCACAGCCCACCAGTAAGGAGTCAACTGCTGGAGTTGTTGTATAGCCATGTCTATGGTGATTCTCCTGTCTGTGATAAGAGTAAGAGCATCAACAATGCCTGCCACACTAAACACTGTATCATACTCAGTGTTAGCATTGTACGCTAAATGCCACATGTGACAATAGTGGGTGTGTGTTCTGGCTATTATAGCAGAGGGAAAACGGAAACTGAATAGTGGACAAAGCAGTGTTTCCCACAGGGTAATATTCAAACAGAGTGCTTATGAATTATTAATCACCTCATCTAACTGGCTGAAAAGCTACTCATGTTTCAAAGCACTTCTGTTGGGAAATCCCCTATGACCTGAAGCCTTTCAAGTGCTACTCTATAAGCAGAGCATAACTCTGCACAGTGTAATGTAATACGAAATAATTGTACACGCCCATTTTTGGGATATTTCAATCCGGGTGGAGTGCCCGGTAGTTATAATGCTGTGGGAAACACTGACAAAGACATTTGATGTCTCGCATTTATCATACAGTCCTTTTAATATATAACTAAGTCACTGATCAAACTCACGAAGAGACAAAATTATAGAGAATGGCTCCATAAGTATATTGACACCCACAAAATGCCATGATCTTACAGTATTCTCTCATGCTGAGTTTGCATCTTGTAAGTGGACAGTCTAAACTAGGCCAGTTATGACAACTACTATAACAGTAGTACATTCTTGGTGGCTGTGTTTACAAAATCAGAGAGCATGACAGGATGTTCACACTGTTTCTCCTACAATATAGAGTACATTTCACACTCACCTAGTGGATGTTTGTCAGGGCCAACTGCAGACTGGGAGCCAGCACTGTGTTCAGGGTCAGGTCTAGGAGACTTTGGATGAGGTTTTTTTGAGGGTTTGACCATAGTGTACTTGACAGGTGGCACCAGAGTATCCAGAGATGGCATGGGGGGCGCTCTGCTACTCTCAAACACCAATTCAGCATACTTCTCCCCTTGTGGCTGAGACACAACACACCACAGTTCACTAAACACATCATCAACAGATAGCTACTGTGTTTGTGAAGGAAATATCAAGGAAAACCATTATCCCACACACACTACACACCATCCCACTCAACACCCTACTTTAGTCTCACTGCCTGAAGTGAGGTTGGTCCCATAGTAGAGTACTGAGAGGGCAGGGTGGGCTGGTGAGAAGTGACAAGGCCGTCATCTGTACTGTGAGATGCCACCACTCTTCGCTGTGCAACAAGCCTCATTCATACTCTTTTCAACATTGCATATAAGTAATCTTACCATAGACTCGTTGGTCTCACTGTAAACCACAGTGGAGGAGGATCCATTGCCAGAGGCCTCGGTAGTTGGGTTAGCATGACTGTAGTAAGGGACACTACTGTCAGTGGTGGTGACGACGTCGTAGGACGGGAGGGCCGCCCGAGGTGAATGAGGAGGGGGTGAGGTGGAGACTGAAAGAGTCCCAGTACTGCTGCCAGGTCTCATCAGCATCTCCTGGGCACCGTAACTATGTGCACATACATACCAGTGTATACACCAGTATACACCAGTTACTAAAATGTAGCATACCAGTTTTCTTCCCCAACTCTTGACACTTTCCCTGCAGCAAAACATTTCAACTGGGAGATCTTAACTTCTAAAACTTACATTTCTTCAATCGGCCACTGTATACAAAAGCTAATACAATGAGGGTGACCACAATTATTCCAACCAAGAACAATGACGCCAACACAGATCCAGCAATAACACCAATGGAACTTCTAGGAGAAGTCGAATGAATTGAAGGCGTGCTAGAAGTGGTGACCACAGCTGTGGTCATCCCTAGAGAATAGAACGCAATGTAGGTAAAAGTTGACAATATGATAGCTGGTTGGAGTTTGAGGTATCCACATACCTGGTGGTTGTACACAGGTGACATCATCACTACTAGGCAGCCATGTTAGAGAAGGGAGAGAGCATGTGGCCACAGTCTCTCCCACCAGAACCAGGTGGGTGTCACAGGAGTAGGTGGCCTGTGCTCCTACTCTGGAACTGGTCACTCACCAACACTGCCATTCACTGGTGGACTGGGAGGACCACAGCCAGCTGAGGGAGAAGAATTACCATTATGATGTAGGGGGTGATGTAAGTATTTTACCTATAGTAATGTTAGCTGTCACTTCATCACTGTAAAAGCCGCACAGTTTACAGCTTTCACTGTAAATTTGTAGAGAATGTTATATTCTCCTCTCATGGTGAAAGTAGTCGTCTTTTGAAAAAATTTGTAGTGCTATTGACTGATACCATGTAAGAGTCAGCATTCTGGTCATCCCACGTAATAAGTATCGTAAACTCTTCCCTTGAATAGTTTTGTGTCATTGGTTTCACATTGGAAGGGGGTGGAGGTATTTCTAGGATAATAGCAAATCATTACTAGCAGAATAAAGATTGAGATAATTATTATACCTTTTTTTAGAATGAGAAGAGAGGCAACATTAGGTGTGAAGCAGGTGACATTGGTTCCATTCTGTATTCTATCATTCACCACTACATCCAGAGTGGAGGTATAGTTGCCACGATTGTCACCCATCATCAGTTGCCTGTCGAGTAAAGTGATAGTGAACTCATCCACATATTCCACTGGTGTTGGATCTCCAATATCAGGAGCGTTTGGTCCCAGACCAGGAGAGTTGTCTTCGTTGAGAAGAGGTAGAGCAAACCATCTCATACCAAAGACTAGAGTCTCTGAGCAGGTGAATGTGATGGTGGTATCAGGACACACTGTTACATGTCCATTCTCAGACTCCACTGACGAGGACAGTGTTATACCTGTACAGATGATAACTAGTACGTTGCTGCTACCTCAACCTAATGAAGCTGCAACCTATGAGAATGGTGCAGCTGAGTACGTGATTCACATTATACACTACACATGGGTTTGCAGTGACAGATTAGCAGTCTGCTCACCTTGAACAAACACACCAGCCAAGGCAAATACAATAACTCTGAGGAGAGCCTACGGAGACATTAGCCGGTTAGCATAAGTACTACAGTATACTGGCTAAAACACACCTCTGGTCTCATGTTGCTTCTTGCTTGAAAGAATACCTGGGCTGCTGCACACACAGACATAAGACTGACGTCAATAACCCTCGTCCCGCATGCGCAGCGTGTAGCTGTCGTGTGTATATACGTACGTATGTGTACGCGTGTACGTGTGTTGCCGTGGACCGCCCAGTTGAGTGACCCGACCCATCAATTAATTAGCTGTGCGCGGGCGTTCGCGGGTCGATCCGCTCGCTCTGCGTATCCTGAAGGCACAAGAAGTGACAACGCAGGGGATGTATCGACTCCCGCATGCTATCTACTACTGTAGCTAGCCCGTCCCAGACTCTCCGCGATCCGCGAGCTATATAGTACAAGTAGCGGGAAAACATACTCATGTACGTATGATACTGATAGCCCAGTCGCGATACCGCGCATGCGCAGTTCGCCTAGGGTGTGCTTTTCCGTTCGTCGATCCTGCGGCTGCGGGCTCGTTCCTATTCCTCGGATCACAGACTCTATATAGACAGCAGAGCATTCACTCGCCACTTTTGTGTCGTACATTCGACGGCGGACTCGCAGTTTGTATTCAAAGCGTTTCAGCTACGAAACTAAGGTGAGAATGTTTTGTGAGCGGGCAACTACCCTATATCTAATAACTGCCTACACTAAGAAATATTTTGTTAGGAAACTAGAGCTAGTTGGGACATAGTTTAGTCTAGGACTTTAGTTGTTGGTAGCTAAGTCATTGTGTCCAACACTCATGGTACGAAATTTGTCAAAGTGCGTATCGCGGTCGGTATACGAAATGCCTATTTTTGGCAAGCGGATAACAACACGATGACGTAACGAGTAATTATGTAACCCTCGCATGCGCGCATGCGCAACGAGAGTTATTGTAGTTGCCCGCCGGTCGTCTCTGTCATGGTCACGGCTGTTTCAATTCCGTACCAACTTAGTGATGTCACGGAATCATTACGTAATCATAAAATTTCCGCAGCAACGGGGCGTTGGCAAAGGCCCTATGGCTTTTTCGCGGCGCTTTGCGCACCGAGGATTAGTGGGCGGTGTTTTTACGCAAAACCACGTTGACCCTTGGAGAAGACGCTAGAGCCCATGGTCGCTTATCGACAGCGGCGCAGGCAGCAGAATGAACAGCTATCAAGCCTGAAAAGTTGTCTTCTACCGGATCGCCAGCAATTTTGAGAGAAAGTCTGATTGAAAAGGCAGAAGGGAAAAGCGTTAGACGACCGGTTTGTATACTGTATGCGACGGCAAGCATCCTTGCGAAAAGGCGGTATTCTTGGTCATAATCTGGCCATATATTGATGTGTACGTGTATAATGACGGCCTATACAAGAAACAGTGGGATGCTACCGCTTTATCCCCCTGTCCTTCCACCTTGCCTTCCACCGTCCCGTGGTGCTCTAGGAACAGTCAGAGCTGTCTCTCCAAGAAGAACAATGTCATGAGCATTCTTCAAGTAGGTTCTGTACAGTTAACTGACTCATCTCTATCTTCCACAACCTGTATTCTCCAGATTCCTTTTTGCAGCTGACTTTCAAACTACTTTTAGTCTTCAGCTCTAGCTTTGTGTAGTATGTTTGTTTATAATATGTGTGCTCCATGTCTCTGTCTAGTGTATGGTGGTACTTTATTGCTTCGTCGACACGCATCGATATTGCACAGTATGTGGTACTTCATTCTTTCGTCGACAAACATCCACGCTGAGTTCAAGGAGTGTAGGTTTGCTGCTGAATTTCGTGTTCAGCGTCTTCTGAACTAATAGTGACAGAATTTATATTGCAAGTTGTTCTGTTATACCCAATGTTTCACTTTACACTTTGTATCATGGCCGACATGGGCTCACGTCATGGTTTCTGTAGCTATCCATGTCAATGACTATTTTGAAATCACTACAGATGTTTTACAGTATTCCTTTCTATCCCCTCTTGAGCCAGAAGCGTAATAAAGCGCTGGGCAGGGGGTATATACCAGGCTCTTTCTAACGGTATTCATGCCATAGTATGGGGGTTACAAACGCTCCAGTAGCCCCCGATGTCGCGTGCTTGCCGAGTTCTGACAGGCTTATTCAACTTCCTACAAGACCGAAGCACTTCTCCAGGCGTATTTCTGACTTATAAAAATGCCTCGCCGGTGGTGCAGGGCTACGAACATGAACCTGTTTTTTTTATTTTATACGCTTGTACTTCCGATGCGCAGTACAAAACGAAGTCGGCTCTCGCCAGTGCGAAGTTGTTGCAGGTATCCACAAGGGTTATACTCTGTATATGGGCGAAGGAAGCGCTTTGGCTGTCGCTTCTTTCTCAGTAGAGGCGGCAGCAATCAAGCGTTGACTCGTGCAGGTTTCATGTAGGGGCGGTTACGCACTAGGCGCGATGATTTCCATATGCGCGCTTAAACTAAGTGAGCGCGTGAAAGAGCCGTGCTGTGCGCGCGTGTGTGTCTGTCCGCCCGTCTGTCCACCGTTTTTCTCGCTAGCCGCGGCAAATCTGAGCGTGAAACGTGGACATATTATCAAGTAGGAGGCATGCATGGTAAACTACTAGTAGGCGAATGCATGGCATTTTTGGCGAGCGGGAGCAAGCACACAATGACTCTATCTGCACGAGCCATCCTACAACTGGAACCTTAGAATCACGAAGATTGGAAGGAGCTATAGACAGCCTCGGTCAGGTATCGAAGAGCGCAGCGAATGCCAGCAAATAGACGATAGTTCTTTGGCTGGCTATACTTCGCATCGATGTCAGCTAGGGTAGCGTGTAAAAAATTGCGCGTTCCCTCTCACGAAAGCGACGCTGATACAAACGAGCCTCTCTGCTCAGGAGTCTCACGGGCACGATGTTCTCTTTACCTCTCTCTTCGACGACGAAGGGCATCTTCCCCGGACTATATTATGCACATGTATACGCACGACATCATCACAGCAAGGCAGCATGTGAAAATTTGAAATCCTTTCGGATAAAAAGAAGCGCGTAATCCTGGAGCATGCGCAGTTGGACGACGTACGGTCGTAGAAAATCCGCTCTGTTCGTACCACTAGGTTAGCTCGCTCCCGCTCGCCAATGATTTTGGAGCGGAGAAGGCCGGGAAAGCTGGTGAAACGGACGGCTGCCGAGGTGAGTGTGCGTCAAATAGAGATCGCGGACGGTCGCTGTATATACTTAGATGCTAGATGCTTTGCACGTGTGGAGAATATTTGCTGGTCTGCCTGTATTGATGGTTTAACAAGTATTCAAAGGAAGAATACAGCTGAAATTATTAAAGGAAGAGCAGTCTGATCTTCTCTGAGACAGCGAACTATTGAACCTCTGTAATCAACAGTGGCGAGGGTTATGCATTTTCAAGTGATTTTCATTGAGCTTTGAGTAAAGGCCCCCTGCTGAAGGACAGAAAACGAGGCTAAAAGACTTCTTCATCTGCCTCGAAGGCATCAAAAGTGCAACTGACGCAAGGATATACATACTTCTCCTACAGGGCTAGAACTGGTGAACAGTGCCATGTTCAAAGCAAACCTACCAATCTAGTGGCGACTCAGTGTTTCTGATCCAAGGATTGTTACCAGATCATGTTGTATATACCTCCTCTAAAATAATTACATCCGTAAATGTTTCCAGGAGTATGCTACATTGCCATTGTGGCATCCGTGGGAGTCTACGGGAATGATATCATTTTATAGGCTGTTGTGGAACTGTGCATGCTGCTCTATTCTCTTTTTATGTGATCTTTTAAACTTTTCTCTATTGAGCATAAGTTAGTTTGAGGTGCCTCTGTTTTAGTGTTTGTCTGCTATGGACTAGTAAGCAATACCTAGCAGTCTTTTGTGATGCTATACGTATTGTATGTGGTGCATATGAGGCCGCTTACTATGCTTAGGTACCTGCTCTTTTTGATGATACGGATCAGACTGATAAGTTGGAAGTGGGATCTGATGGAAAGTGAAACATACAAATCTCAAATGTATTACATGCACAACCTGCATCCTCCCCATATACTAAGTACTACCGTACAGTGATAGTGTCCTTGTGTACTGCACAAGCATTTCCTTTGTGCCAAACTACACATTAGTACTTTCTTTTTATTGCAGGAGAATGATGTTAACAGTACTGCTTGTCTCAACATTTTCACTACTCTTCAATTGTAAGTGCTTTAATGCTACATTCTAATAACCCTCGACAACATGGTTACAGTACTTGGTTTGTGTGTCTATTGCCACATTTCTGCCACTAGGTGCAACCAGACTGCCAAAATACTAGCCAACAGATTTTTCGCTTGATTTAAATCTGGCACTTTTCATAAAAATAGTGCGTTCAAAAGTTAAAAAAGAGGAGAGGGTCTGGTCTTCCTAGCATCAACGAGTTGTGTAAGTGGAATGGAATGACGTAATATTTTTTCCAATCAAATACACGCATGCACACATTCCATCTACACGAGAAATGACCATAACAAAGCTATGTACCCGTGAATTCCACAGCCAACTATGAGGAATTGATGACCTCCGAGCTTACAGCCAGTGCTCCCATGGTGCTGGGCAGCTTAGCTCACTGCACGAATGCGTTTCCTTTTCATGCTGATTGGGTACATTCCGCGATAACATGACGTCACTTAAGCTTTTATTTGGCTGTTCTGCAATCTGAGATAACCAATTTTCAGTTATTCTGCTGCATAGCCTTGTCAGACAAGCTAACGAAAAACTGTGCGTTGATTTAGGGGGAGGGGGAGCAGGGGGGCACTTGCTCCCCTTGATTAAATATGCCCCCCCCCTTGGAGTTAAAGGGAATATGGCAGTATAAAAGGGCTAGAAATCTTGCTAAAGATTGAACAAAATAATAGGGGCACAGTAAAAGAATGCAACTAACTTCCGTTATTAGTAACATTCCTAAATTTAGCCCCTATATACTACCACATTTCCTTTCAAGTAAACCTTTCAATATGCAAAACCAAAAACAAGTCTGACTGGCACGCAGACACACTACAGTGGCACACTATAGTCACCTAAACCAATGGTAGATGGTCTTTTAAAGCCCACTCACATTCACATACTTTCACATCTTGGCAGCTTGCAACTATTTTTTTAAAAGACAAGGCAGACAGCTGTGTAAGTTCCCCAGTGTGCTATTGCCACACACACATTTTTACACTTCTGTAGTCACTAGAAAGACCCTGAGATTACACCAGAAGCAATCTCAGAACATCTATAATACAAAACTTCCTGACCAGTTGCTGTGTGCTTACGCACACTGTTAGGGCTTTGACCCCCCTTTATTTCATTTGACCCTCCTTTATTTCATTTGGCCCCCCTTTGGTCAACTTCTGTATGAACCCCTGGTGTGTGCCCAGCTCATGAAATAGCTGCCTACAGTGTTGCAAACATGCGCGTGTTTCTATTGTGCCAAGTGTTTGCACTTTTAGTGCTTTTCGTTCCTCCTATTAACCCTCGGCGGCGCGCATGCGCAGCGAGGGTTACAGTACTTGGTCTGTCCATCTGTCTGTCCGTCTGTTACCACGTTTTCTGCCACCACGCGCAACAAACAGGTAAAATAGCGACACCAACGGGTTCAGCGCTGGCTTCATTTTCAAAATAGCGATTTTCGTAAAAGTGCCTCATTGAAAACAAAGTGAACAAGCCAATATGCAAATTAGCACAGGCTTACCTCGACTGGGTCCGCTTGCTCTGTGTACCTTGGAGGCACAAGAAGTCACAACGAAGGCCGTGTATCACTCCCGCATGCTGTCTACTACTGTAGCTAGCCCGTGTCAGACTCTCCGCGAGCTACTAGCGGGAGATCACGAGTAAACGTATACTAATATAATAGGCCCAGCCCATCAATTAGCGGTACCACGCATGCGCAATTCGTCGAGGGTTTGCACTTTAGTGCTTTTCATTAACCCTCGGTGCGCATGCGCAGCGAGGGTTACTGTAGTTGGGTCTGTCTGTGTGTGTGTGTGTGTCTGTCAGTCTGTTACTCTACATCTCACTTCTCGAGTGTTTGTTCGTCTCACAAACGATACGACCTACCCAACGGGCAAAGAAGGTCAGAAAGTTTGTGGGGGTTTCTCTGAAAACGCTCTGTTGCAAAGCTAGAGCGCTTCAAGCATTGTACGGCTAATGCGTAGTCGGCCATTTTTATCGCTGCGGAAAATGCGCATGCGCTTATATTTAGCACAGGCTTACCTCGACCGGCCCGCTTGCTCTGTGTATGTTGAAGGCACAAGAAGTCACAACGAAGGGCGTGTATCGACTCCCGCATGCTATCAACTACTGTAGCTAGCCCGTGTCAGACTCTCCTCAAGCTATACTAGCGGGAGACCACCACAAAATAGCCCAGCCCATCAATTAGCAGTACCGCGCATGCGCAGTTCGCCGAGGGTTTGCACTGTAGTGCTTTTCATATTCATGAATTACTGCTTGCTGAAGTTGCAAATTAGAAAGAAAAACGTTACTCCATCACTTTTTAAAATTATGTTTAGGTGTTTCTGGTATTTTGACATGTGGTGGGTGTATATCTGATGATATCAACAATGAATACTACTGCAGAGAAGCTGAACGCTATATATACTTCCGATGCGAAAGTAACCTAACCCAGTTGGAATGGAGTGTATCCCCGCTTTTTGGAACGAATGTTATCTTGAATGCATTGGACGAAGAAGATAATATTATTCGCCGTGGTGGTGTAAGCATATTTGTCGACACTATAGATATCACCTCAAGCAAAAGTCAAATAATTTCCTATCTTTGGCTTAATCTTGAAGAAATGGATTCTGAAATACGTGTAACATGCATCAATGATGGTGTTTTCTACTGGGTATTAAAGCCTTCAGGTACGTACATTTTGTGTAAAGTACATGCCATTCCCTCACTTGTCTGAGCAACCTGGTTGTCATTGATGTTCTAATTTCACCCTTATGGGCTACAAATGTGAAAAATACGGTAATCATAAAGACCGCACTTAATACGAAATTCTAGATGCACTCTTGTGGTCCTGGAATGCACATTTCTGCGCCTCTTTGCCTTGGACGAACGTTTTGAGCCCCGCTCAATAACAGCCTGGATAGCACATGAGCACAGTGCTAAGCCTCATTCCACTGAAAGTATTTTCTACAGACGCAAAACTTAAAGCACTCTCATCACAGCAATCAGCAACACCGACAAGGTGGACCAAGCCTAGTAGTCTCGTAGGTCAGACTCTCCCTACGATGCTCGACCAAGTAAACAGAAGCCGATATGTAGCTGCATTTTTTCGGACAGGCAAAGGGCAGAATTTAGTGCATAGCTGATTTAAATCGAGCAATCTGATTGGTTCACACGAGGTACTTCATTTCCCGTAGTATACCTGGGACGCTCCATAGTATGTTCACATGAATAATGAGTGGAGACAAGTAAATTAAAAGACTATGCGCAACGAGACAACAAAACAGCAATACCAACGGGTTCATCGCTAAACTGGCTTCATTTTTTAAAAAGACGATTTTCGTATAACTACTGCGTTCAAAAGTTATGGCATGAAAAGCAAGTGAAAAAGCCAATGTGCAAATTAGCACAGGCTTACCTCGACCGCGTCCGCTCGCTCGTATCTAGAAGGCACAAGAAGTCTGTATCAACTCCCGCATGCTATTTACTACTGTAGCTAGCCCGTGTCAGACTCTCCGCGAGCTACTAGCGGGATACCACGAGCAAAGGCATAAAAAGCCCAGCCTATCAATCAGCGGTACTGCGCATGCGCAGTTCGCCGAGGGTTTGCACTTTAGTGCTTTTCATTTTTTTTGCAGGAGAGAGTACACTGAAGCCAAATATTACGGATGCATATTTTGTAAGGGATCCAAACTCCGAAGAAGTGTCTGTGTTTTACAAGTGGGATTATCCTAACTTCAGAGAAATTCTTGGCTACAATGTAAAGACCTTCCTTGATGGCCAACCTATTTCGAGCATTTCGCTGCCGAAGGCTTCTATGATGGATCTCACAATGTCCACCTTCCCAATGAAGGAGAACTCAGTCTTGAAATCGAGGCTGTAGATCACTGTAAAGAAACACATTCATCAGAAGTTTTTACTGTCTCACGTAAGTACTATATTTACTGGTATGTTACACTAGAGAGTTAAACCCCACTTCAAACGTTCCTTCCCTTTGATCAATACTCTACCCTACAAGGCTACAATGGCAAGAAAATGAATGATTCCCCTTACAAATGTCATCCAAGAACTCTCAACACTGTCCCACACCGCCAACACACTTTATATTGTCCGCGCGGAGGTGCAGCGTAACACCATAGACAGATATTACAGTATGTGTCCATTAATATCGCTCTGAAACTATGCCTCGCATATGCGTTGAGCCAGGGAGGAGCCCATTACTTTTTGCTAAGGAGCAAGGCTGATGGGTGCACTTACTCAAGGCAAGGTCTAAGTTTACTCACGACTACATGCTCTACGGGCAATGCCCACTTTTGCATAGTATCGTAGACCACGGATAAAGCCACCTTGTAGCTATTGTTTTGGATTTCTATAAACAGGCCACTCTGTGTGGGCTGCTTACTCTGCATGGTAGTATGGCAAATGATTGCAAGCCAAGAAGTCCATGATTTAGAGTTGGCATGCCACATGCCCACGTACCCACGTGGTGGCCCTAGGCATGTGCAGAAGTCTATGTAGTATGTATTAGTTAATGTATAGGCGGCGAGGCGGTATACAGGAGATACTCCGAGGCTGTTGACTATATATACCTGACGAGGGCGTAGCCCAAGGCCGGTATAGTCAACAGCCGAGGAGGATTTCCTGTACTCGCCGAGACGCCTGCCATTAACTGATTTGTAGTCCAACTAGCCAATCACAACGCTGAATTTCTGCTGTGTCATCTGCACTAATGTACTAATGAACTGTTGTGTAAACTGTGGAAGCCAGACAATTTGCACCACCCAGCTAGATGTTGTGATAAGGACTTCCTGTCCAATACTGATACCAGTGCAGCCCGCAGCCCACAGCTCAGAATACAGCGTATATTCCTAGCACTGGGTTGTTTGAAATTAGACTACAAAGCTGTATATACATCACCCTCCATTTAAAATGCTTTTGCATCACACTGATATGTTATTTTTCTATATTCCTTTAGGTTCTTATATTATGTCTGACGAAAGTGGTAAGTAAGTATGTTGTACTCTGCAAATTAAAAGCTTGTATCTGATTACCCTCAGAGTGCCTGACTAGTGCTCAAGTGGATGAGTATTGTGCGAGTCAAACATCATCTTCCACCCCGAGACCATCTACCCCAGACAGTTCCTCTACTGCCCTTATCGTGGGAGTTATTGCGGGATTTATGGTGCTGATTGTGGGCATTGCTATTGTGGTTGTTGCAATAATCAAGTTCTCCATTGGCTTAAAGGTACGTAATCTTACTGGTGAATGAAACCACTCGTACCCAGACCCCACCCTCAAGAGAGGAAAGGTCTTGTGACAATAAGTTTAGGAGGTTTAACATTCCACTTGCCTTGTGTTTACACCCCCTCATTCCCCTTTGGAGAGAGATATGGTGCGCAAGAACTTGGGAACAAATCAGCCAGTGGCATTCTCCACATTCTTCGGTACACCATAAGGTGCTACAGAGAGACAGAAATGATTATAAACAGACTCAAACACCAGAGACATTATTGAGATGTCTCAGCGTGTGTGTGCACTCTGCCTAAATTCGACCATGCCTACTGGAATAAAACCGAAGGACAAATTGAAGGACGAAAAATAGTACCTCAACAGCCAGCACCACTTTCATAAAGCGCATGCGCTAAGTACTGCATCAGCTGCGCCAGCACTGCCCCTTACTTCTTTATTTTCGAGATAGCTGTATTTTGTGTCAGGTTGAGCACTTAGTGAAGTGGTATATAGTTCCATGCACAATTTTATGCACATTGTGTATGTGCAAATACTGTGCTGAAAGTATATATAGCTGTTTATTTTTTCTCTCATTTTAGCACACTCATAACCAAGTTACTGGGGACGAGTCTACCTCCCAAACAGCTAAGCATGGCAAAACTGTACGAGATGATGAGAAGCCACTCATCGGATGCTGGTAGCTCTCATTCGTCTCAAAGCATAGTGTAAAAAGTGCTTGAAGATGTCAAAAGATACTTCAACTAACAATAATTTTATTAACTCATGTTTGTTCAAGTGAATGTGGTACTATTGATGTTTGTTCAAAGTGAAGCTGAAAACTGGATAGAGTAACCAATATTGTAGCTATTGACAGCCCAGTGACACCTAAATATGTGTGGGGTAAAGGAGGAGGGTTGTAGCCTCCTATATAAATGAAGTGTGATACAACTCCTTGGGTTGCGCTCTCAGAGTTAATTGGCGAGCGGGAGCGAGCTAACCTAGTGGTAGCTATATACGAACGGCGCGGATTTTCTTATACTGTTGATTTCATTGCAGTTCGAACGTGCGTGCCTCCGCGCCGTATTCCACCGTAGGGCCGTGCGCCGCGCGCGTGTTGCAGCAAGACTAAAATTTCAAATCCTGAGAATGGCAACTTCTGCTGAACCTGCCCGTACAGTTGGCTATTCCTCTGATATAGGCTGGAGAGTCGTTTGGCAACGTGTGGGAATGGGATTATCGTTTAGATGTATTGCAATGCGAATGCAGATTGGATTAGGCACAGCTCACAAGATTTATGCCAGATTTGTGGAGACAGGTGAAGTTGCACCTCTCAAGCCAGGATCAAGACCTGATTCACGAGCGCTTGATGAGTTTCACGAAATAATATTATACATTCTACATTTACTTGCTGAGAATCCTAGTCTCTATCTCGCTGAACTGCGTCTAAAAATGTAGGCTACAACAGGGATAGCAGTCTCTGGATCAACTATATGTAGATTATTGAAGAGAAATGGGTTGAGTAGGAAGAAAATTTTTCATGTTGCAAGACAGAGGTGTATAGAGTACAGAGGGGCTTTTATGGCACACATACTTCAGTATCCTGTCGATTGGCTTGTATTCCTCGATGAAACTGGTTGTGATAACCGTGACAACATTCGGAAATACGGCTACTCTTTTCTAGGGGAATCACCTGTTTACCACCGCTTCGTGGCTAGACTCAGTAACGATCTCTTCCTCTGGCAACAGCGGGGAATTCACAGGCGTGGCCATAGAGTACGAAACGGTCGAGTTTGCGGTCGCATTCTGCCCAGTGAGCGTAAAATAACTTTGCCATCCACCATCCATACCAAAAAGCGTTCAGATAAACAGCGGATAGACAGCGGATATTTCCAACAGTTCTATATACACGCGGCTGGCACACACTCGATTATAGCGAAAGTGCAAAGTACAAGTCAATTGGCCGCGCCGCACACGCGTGACGGCGCGGAAATATTTACGCGTTCGAACTGAGTTATTTTACGCTCACTGAGCTGAAATCAACAGTATATCATATCTACGACCGTACGTCGTCCAACTGCGCATGCTCCAGGATTACGCGCTTCTTTTTATCCGAAAGGATTTCAAAATTTCACATACTGCCTGACGTGCGTATACATGGGCATATAGTCTGGGGAAGATGCCCTTCGTCGCCGAAGAGCGAGGTAAAGAGAACATCGTACCCGTGAGACTCCTGAGCAGAGAGGCTCGTTTGTATCGGCGTCGCTTTCGTGATAGGGAATTTTTACACGCTGCCCTAGCTGTCATATCGATGCGAAATATAGCCAGCCAAAGAACTCTCGTCTATTTGCTGGCATTCGCTGCGCTCTTCGATACCTGACCGAGGCTGTCTATAAGGTAAGTGTTGGTATTATGAGTCAGGGGGTATTATGGGTAAATATTCCAAAAAGCTGCCAAACACTGTGTAACTGCTTCCTACCGTCGGGACGTTAGCCCAGCAAATCGTCGCCACATTTTAACACGTGCTGCGGGTTACATTCCGACAAATAGCCAAAAGTCAAGAGGTCACAATGATTGCATCACTGACTCAAAGGGTTTAATTTGGGGGAGGTTTTAAATGAATGATTTGGTCAAATTATGATTAATTTGTGGTTTTTTGCTTTTCTGTATATCTAAGTAATTATTGTGAAACACGACTGGGCAACTGTTTGCTTCATCAAAGAATACGTTTAATGTCGACTCATAATACCATCACTGACTCATATTGCTGCTTTTAGAGGGTTATAAAGCAATATTTTGCATTACCTACTATATGAATATATTCTGAAAACCGATTTGATTTTTAGAATCGCCATGTCTTGATAGTCATGTAACATAAATTTCACTTTAATTCACCGGTATTTGGAGGAAAAATTAAGAAGAAAGTTTAAGTGGCTCAAAATACCAACATCTACCTTACCTCCTTTCAATCTTCCTGATTCTAAGGTTCAAGTTGTAGGATGGCTAGTACAGATAGAGTCATTGTGTGCTCGCTCCCGCTCGCCAAAAATGCCATGCATTCGCCTACTAGTAACTCTTTTTACACATTGGCGAGCGGGGGGAGCGAGCTAACCTAGTGGTACGAACGGCGCGGAATTTTCCCGTACGTCGTCCAACTGCGCATGCTCCTGGATTACGCGCTTCTTTTTATCCGAAAGCTGTGATGATGTCGTGCATATACATGTGCATATAGTCCGGGGAAGATGCCCTTCTTCGTCGAAGAGAGAGGTAAAGAGAACATCGTGCCCGTGAGACTCCTGAGCAGAGAGGCTCTTTTGTATCAGCGTCGCTTTCGTGATAGGGAACGCGCAAATTTTTACACTCTGCCTAGCTGTCATATCGATGCGAAATATAGCCAGCCAAAACAACTCTCGTATGGCATTCGCTGCGCTTTTCGATACCCGAGGCTGTCTATACCTCCTTCCAATCTTCGTGATTCTAAGGTGCAAGTTGTAGGATGGCTCGTGCAGATAGAGTCATTGTGTGCTCGCTCCCGCTCGCCAAAAATGCCATGCATTCGCCTACTAGTAATTGGCGAGCGGGAGCGAGCCAACCTAGCCGTTCGTTCGAGCGGAATTTCTGTGTATATATATTTATTACCCGTTGCTAGGTCGTTGCTATGTTTATTTTAGACAATAAATCAGCTACCCACCCAAGAGGGCGAGAAGGTGAGAATATCCACTGTGGTTAGGGCAAAATAACTAAGGAATGGTGTGAATATCCACTGTGGTTAGGGTTGGGTATCAATGTTCTTATGTCGACGCTGACAGATCGAGGGAGGATTGAGGGAGCGAATGGCAGAGGCTTCCGTTTGGAAATCGAGGGTTGGGATTCTGAGACGTCGCTGCAAGGCTCCGCGTCCGAGAGTAGCGCTCCTGGGGACGGGCCGTTGGCATCGAAAAGGCGTAGGCACAAACTTCTTGCTGAGAGCCTCGCTCTTTGCATCATCTAAAAATTCAAACCTCTCTGTAGCTGCGGAAGTAGTGCACGTAGCCCTCTTCCTTGTCAGCGAGAGCCTACGCCTTTTAGATGGCGACGGCCCGTCCCCAGGAGCGCTACTCTCGGACGCGGAGTCTTGCAGCGACGTCTCAGAATCCCAACCCTCGACTTCCAAACGGAAAGCCTCTACCATTCGCTCCCTCAATCGCTCCCTCGATCTGTCAGCGTCGATCGTGTTTGTCGGCGTACGATAGAACGGCACGTTATGCATGCGCAGGTTCACGCGCATCGCCTTATTTGGGTGGATGCGCCATTTTCGCGCGCGGTTTCACCAGCAACGACCAATAAACATTTTATTACACCTTTTGGAGTGGTGTTGCTGGTTTATCCGCCCTCGAGGCGTCGGGCGGATAAACCAGCAACACCACTCCAAAAGGTGTAATAACATAATATACATAACTAGTAGGCGAATGCATGGCATTTTTGGCGAGCGGGAGCGAGCACACAATGACTCTATCTGCACGAGCCATCCTACAACTTGAAACTTAGAATCACGAAGATTGGAAGGAGGTATAGACAGCCTCGGTCAGGTATCGAAGAGCGCAGCGAATGCCAGCAAATAGACGATAGTTCTTTGGCTGGCTATACTTCGCATCGATGTCAGCTAGGGTAGCGTGTAAAAAATTGCGGTCAGCATGTGAAATTTTGAAATCCTTTCGGATAAAAAGAAGCGCGTACTCCTGGAGCATGCGCAGTTGGACGACATACGGTCGAGATAAAAAATAGAAATTCCGCGCCGTTCGTACCACTAGGTTAGCTCGCTCCCGCTCGCCAACTAGTGGAAATGTTGAACATTGTTGGCGAGCGGGAGCGACCCAACTTGGGATATGTCCGCGATGTTCGGGCTGCATAACGTGCTGTCAGCGCACAGCTTTCCTTTCGTGAAGCAAGACAGAGCTACCTGTCGCCGTTACATGCGTACTGCATATTGCCAGAACAGTGTGCAGGTGAGCAGTACGGTCCTTACCTTACGCTTTCAACGCTCGTCTGTCGTGGTCCACCAGGCAGCTGGCATGGCAGTAGGATAGGCAGCGATCGACCGGGCTGGCCGACAACGCGGCGTGTGTTAGCTGGTCCACCAGGCAGCTGGAATGTGCACGAGCAATCGTAGCGTATGTGCGAGTTGCACCATGAAGATTGGGAAGAGGTACAGCCTCGGTCAGTCACCGAAGGTTGCAGCGCATGCCGTCGAATGGAGGAGAGTTCTCTCGCTGGCGAAGCACCGTGTGTGAAAATGTGCAAAAAATTTGGAAATGAAAAAGAAGCGCGTACTAAGCCGCGCATGCGCACTTACACGACGGACGGACGGACCACGGACGTATATATATATATATTATATACAGAAAATTCCGCTCGAACGAACAACTAGGTTGGCTCGCTCCCGCTCGGCAATTATTGGCGAGCGGGAGCGAGCTAACCTAGTGGTACGAACGGCGCGGATATATTAAAGAAGATTCTACGCAAGATTTGGCATCTACCCGCTCGTTCACACACTGCTATTGTTCATTGTGTCGCACAGGTTCAAACCATAATATACTAGTGGAAATGTTGAACATTTTTGGCGAGCGGGAGCAATCCGTAAAGATGTGGTGTGCATTATAGCGTTTATTGTGATCAAAATCTTTGTACAAAATCAGGGATACATATAGTCACAAAAGCACATTGGTGGCGGATATTATGTGGTAGACTTAGATTAGTGACGACGGGCAGCCGTAATAATCCCATTCTGGGAGGTGGTGGCTGTGATAGGGTCACAGCTAAGTAAATTTATTTTGGAAACTGTTCCTTGACATATATCATCCAGTACTGGGGAGAAGACAGTGAATGTCATTACTGGTGATGTTTCAGACTTTAAATCGATTCTGGCAGTATATCGAAGCTCACATCGATCAAACAGTTGTGTCATAGAACACCGGGTACAATCTCCCAAGTTGCTGGTAGTTTCGATCACCTTCCCATTACAAGCGTAACATGCATTGAATGAATCAAAAGATCTCACACCAATAATAGTAGCGTTTAGTAATTTGTCCATCGTCAGTTTCAGAAGACTGAGCTATATCTTCAAGGTCTTCAATTTTAGTAAACGAGAAACCATCGCGAGTGACAGACAAGTACTTTTCTCCCTTATAGGTACGGACTTTGAGCCCTTCCATTAGGTAGGATGTGTTGTCCTGGAGAGTGTCGATATCATTTTTCCACAAAACAATTTTGGATGAAGCGGTTGCATCTGCTATGCGACATTCCTGTTTCTTTAACTCATTGATAACTGTAATATCACTAACTCTAGTAACCTTAACTTGGATGGATACACTTTGGTAATCTGATAACTTTGGAAGATCTTGAAGT